AGAAAGAAAGAAAGAAAGAAAGAAAGAAAGAAAGAAAGAAAGAAAGAAAGAAAGAAAGAAAGAAAGAAAGAAAGAAAGAAAGAAAGAAAGAAAGATGAAGAAAGATGAAGAAGGGGAGAGAGAGAAAGAGAGAGAGAGACTGAGACTCCCATATGCTAATTTCAGAGGGTAGCTGTGTTGTTCTGCAGTAGAAGAGCTAGATTTGAATCCAGTACCATCTTAGAGACCAACCAGAGCTTTCGAGAGTCAAACGTCCCTTCATGAGATACCAAAGGGAACTTTGACTCTCCAAAGCTCACACCCCGAATGCCTTGTAGTTCGCCAAGATGCTACTGGACGAGAATCCAGCTCTCCCACAAGCTGTGTTCAGAAAAAAACCCTCTGAAGTTGAGGTGTTTAAAACCTCTGCGAAAGAAAGGTACTGGCCTGTCCAGACATGCTGTTTCCACAGCTGCAACAAGTCAGTATCCAGTAAAGCCATTTATGCAACAGAAAGGTCACTCACTTAAATGTGCCAAATCTTCTTCTCAAGCCTTCCGCAGATAATTTTTCAACCAAAAAGAGTTTTGAAGTCAGGGCGTTGATATGAGCTGGAAGTGGAGCAAAGGGTGGGTGGGGGGAACACACACACACAGTAAGAATTTCGCTACCTAACAAAAACAAGGAAGCTCACAACAAAGGTGGGAGCAATTTTCCAAGCAGCAAAATAGATCCCACCTTTTAGGTTAAGGGGAGGGAAAAAACCCCACAAGATAACCCGACCGTCAAGTGACAACGAACGAGAGAAGCGGGGAAAAGGAAGTGGGTGATTGTAAAGCCCGTGGAACAGGGTATGATCCTGCACACACTCTGCGGTTTTAGATTTCTCTGACTTCAGCGAGACAGAGGAAGAGCATGCTTGGATCTTGCCCCCAGAAAACTGCAGCCAGTGTTCCCTCTAAGCTGAGTTCGTGTGAGCTAGCTCACAGTTTTTTACCCTTTGGCTCGCACATTTTTGTCTCAGCTCAGGAAGGAGGGCTCCGGAGCAAAGTAACTTATGCAGCAGCCAAAGCACTCGCTCACAACTTTAATGCCAGGGGCTCACAAAGCAGAATTTTCGCTCACAAGACTCCACAGGTGAGAGGGAGGCATTGACTGCAGCACGTAAAAAGGGTTTAATCTGGGGCTGAATCATGACACTTCTACATTCTATAGTGTCACAAGCGCACCAGTGATTTCAAATATACTTGTAGTTGCAATAAATACATTCAGCACGGAGAGGCTGAGCAGTTTTAACCCACCGTTTCCGAAGGAAGTCTCTTTGTTTCCTTAGTTTCAGTGCTATGGTGAATGCTAAGCTGACTCTAGAGGTGAGTATCCTCAAACAGCTAAACCACAGGGCATGCCAAGAAGGCAAATCTAATGGATGGGGCGGGGGAAGGAATAAGGGTTGGATTCAGAGCAATGGAGACCACAAGACCTTTAAGTAGTGCCCCCAATTAAAAAACCATACAGCCTATCCCATCTGAAAGCCTCCGACCATTAATAGTTTGATTGGATTTATACCCCACCCTTCACTGCCCGAAGGAGTCTCACAGCGGCTTATAATCTCCTTTCCCTTCCCTTCCCCTCCCCACAACAGACACCCTGTGAGGTGGGTGGGGCTGAGAGAGTTCTCTCAAGGACTGCCCTTGAGAGAACAGCTCTGAAAGAACTTATGACTGACCCAAGGTCACACCAGCAACTGCATGTGGAGGAGTGGGGAATCAAACCCTGTCGGCCTTGGCTGGTATTTGGAAGGGCAACCTCCAAGGAATACCAGGGGTGTGAAACAGGCAGGCAATGGAAAACTGCCTCTGGAATATCTCTCGCCTTTAAAAAAAACACAAGCCTAGCTCGCCACCTAGTGGTACATTATGCCAAAAGAGCTAGAAATTCCGGCTGCCAGACAAGCAGAGCCTCTCCCAGCTATACTACACACACAGCCATACGATAATAATAATAATTCATGTTTTGTATGTTATTTTAACTCTTGTTTTTTCATTTGTTCTAATGATGTGGTGCGTGTGGGTGGTGGTGGTGGTTATCAAGCATGTTTTCAATTTTAGCTGCCTTATCGGAGCAGAAAGCTGGTTTTTGTAAATTGAAAAGGACACTTCCTGCCGGATCAGACCAAGGGTCCATCTGAGCCAATGCTCTTGAGATGTCAGGTGTCACCCCCCCACCCAATCACGTGCAGGGGCCAGATTTTGTTTGTATTTCTTATCCTCTACTAATCACAGCAATCTTGCAACTCTCAGTGCTTGTTCTCGGGCCGCTGCATCTCTCTCCCTCTCCCTCTGGCGACACACACAGAGATGGAGACATTCAAAGAGAGTGACGCTTGCTCCAGTGTGAGGCTTAGCGAGGGATTAATCCAGCCTCAGAGCTGTGCTGTGCTTTGTTTTGCAGTTTCGCTCGGCCTTCGGACGTGGCACACCTTCCAAACAAGGCCGCAACATGCTCTCCCGGGAATGCGCTCTCAAGGTGGGCGATTTCTCGATAAACACTCGGCACATAGTGGTATCGGAGTGCCCAACAAATGCAAGAAATCATCCACAGTCCTTGGATGGATTTTAGCCGGACCGAAAGTCAGCCAGGCAGAAGATGAAAGGGTATGGATCTGAGGAGCTAATCCTTATTTTTTTTAATACCTGGAATCATTTCAACAGAGAGAAGAAGAAGAAGAGATTGGATTTATACCCCGCCCTTCACTACCCGAAGGAGTCTGAGCGGCTTACAAACTCCTTTCCCTTTCCCTCCCCACAACAGACACCCTGTGAGGTGGGTGGGGCTAAGAGAGCTCTGACAGAAACGGCTCTTTTTCAAGGACAGCTGTGCCAGAGCTTGTGACTGAGCCAAGGTCACATCAGCAGGTGCAAGTGGAGGAGTGGGGAATCAAACCCGGTTCTCCCAGATTTGAGTCCACGCACTTAACCACTACACCAAACCGGGTTTGAAGCTGCCTACTCTGGCTGGCAGTGGCTCTCCAGGGTCTCAGGCAGAAATCTTTTGCATTGCCTCCGGCCTGGTCCTTTTTACAGAAAATGTTTGGGATTGAATTTGGGACCTTCTGCATGCCAAGCAGAGGCTCTTCCACTGAGCCAAGGCCCCTCCCCTACATTACATGAACACATGAAACTGCCTTCTACTGAATCATCAAGATCAGTATTGTCTACTCAGACTGGCAGCCACTCTCCAGGGTCTCAGGCGGAGGTCTTTCACATCACCTTCTGCCTGGTCTTTTTTGAACTGGAGATACTGGGGATTGAACCTGGGACCTTCTGTATGCCAAGCAGATGCTCTACCACTGAGCCATGGTCCCCCTGTCTTTTTTTTGCTGGGGGAAAGATGTGGTGGAAGGGAGTCGTAGGGTTCAAGCCAAGGGGAACTGTAGACCGAACTACCTTCTGCATGCCAAGCAGAGGCTCTTCCACTGAGCCACAGCCCCTCTAGGGTCTCAGGCGGAGGTCTTTCACATCACTTCCTGCCTGGTCCTTTTTAACTGGAGATGCCGGGAATTGAACCTGGGACCTTCTGCATGCCTCTACAGCTCTCCAGAGTCTCAGGCAGATGTCTTTCCCATCACCTACTGCCTGGTCCTTCTTAAGTGGAGATGCTGGGGATTGAGCCTGGGACCTTCTGCATGCTAAGCAGATGCTCTACCACTGAGCCACAGCCCCACTTTACAGCTCTCCAGGGTCTCAGGCAGAGGTCTTTCCCATCACCTACTGCCTGGTCCTCTTTAAGTGGAGGTGCTGGGCAGTGTTCCCTGTAAGCTTAGTGTGAGCTAGCTCACAGTTTTTTAGCCCCCGGCTCACACATTTTTACCTTAGGTCAAGAAGGATGGCTCCAGAGCAAACTAATTTATGCATTAGCCAAATCGCTTGCTCACCACTTTCATGCCAGTAGCTCACAAAGTAGAATTTTTGCTCACAGGACTCCACAGCTTAGAGGGAGCAGTGGTGCCGGGGATTGAACCTGGGACCTTCTGCATGCAAACCAGAGGCTCTTCCACTGAGCCACGGCCCCTCCCTTCCCTTCCAATTGTTTCACTGCAATGGATCACTAAGATCGTACCTCAGGGGCAACTCTTACGGATGCATATGGTGACTCGCTGCAAAATTATTCCATGGGTCTGAATGGCAGCACCAGCACCGTTGTATAAAAAAGTTTGCACTCAATGCGCCCTTGTAAAACTGTTTGCTATCAATCGAGGTACAGCCATGTACTGAAACCGAACTGAACTTACCAACCACAAACGAACAATTGGAGTGCAATAAACTCTCGGTCCACAGCCGACATATTTCGCCTTCTGTTAACGCTTCCGCTCCGTAGAAGGCTTGATATTCCAGCTTTGGCAGTACGTAGACAGGGTAGTGCTACAAAACAAGTGAGCAGAGTTAAACAACCCCCCATGTTCTCCTTCCATGTCCCTTTTATCTGGTACCCCGCCAGGATCTTCTGTGTCCTATATTAGCTCAATTCTCAGAGATTCCTGACGATTTTAAGGTTCTGTTTTTGCTTGATAATCAAGATACGGAAATAACCGAAATAGTAGCAAGGTTTCCTCTTAGTGCTACGGCTATGCGTTCTGATAAGTAACGATTAGGTTTTTCTGCTTTCATGCTGTTTTTCTGCGCCGTAGCTCCAATTTTACCCTATATGGATTTGTATTTTCCGATCTATATTTAATCTGATCTCCTATCGTATGTATATACGTATGCCAATAAAGGCTTGTCAAAGTAAAGTAAACAACTGGTTAAATACTTGCTCCCTCGAAGATGTGGAGTCTTGTGAGCAAAAATTCTACTTTGCGAGCTGCTGGCATTAAAGTTGGGAGTGAGCCATTTGGCTGCTGCGTAAATTAGTTTGCTCCGGAGCCCTCCTTCCTGGGCAAAGACAAAAACGTGTGAGCCGGAGGCTAAAAAACGGTGAGCTAGCTCACGCTAACTCGGCTTAGAGGGAACACTGGCATTTCATGAGTAAAAAGGTAAAGGTAAAGGTTCCCTTGCTCGAAAGCCAGTCGAATCCGACTCTAGGGTTGCGGTGCTCATCTCCGTTTCAAAGCCGAAGAGCCAGCCTTGTGAGCAAAAATTCTACTTTGCGAGCTGCTGGCATTAAAGTTGGGAGTGAGCCATTTGGCTGCTGCATAAATTAGTTTGCTCCGGAGCCCTCCTTCCTGGGCGAAGACAAAAACGTGTGAGCCGGAGGCTAAAAAACGGTGAGCTAGCTCACGCTAACTTGGCTTAGAGGGAACACGGGCATTTCATGAGTACCCCAAACCTAAACCTGACTCTTTGCCAGGCTTGGGCTGTTCTTAGTCATCTGAGCTTTGATACAACAGCAGAGATCACCGAGAGCCAGCCGGGATTCTATGCACAGCCTGTTTGAAAAAAAGAAAGAAAGAAGAAGAAGAAGAAGAGATTGGATTTATACCCCGCCCTTCACTACCCAAAGGTATCTCAGAGCGGCTTACAAAAATTCCTGAATCCCAATGCCATACCTATATTGAGATTCAGGAATAATGTAAAATACCATTTTTTCGGGTTCAATACACACAAACTTGAAAAATACCAGGGTTTGGGGTTTTTTGTACACCCCTAGTTTTAATTGCCTCTGCGCTGCTTTGGGGAGCCTGATTGGGTGGAAAGGAGGCATAAACATGTTTTAAATACGTAAAATAAATTATACAGGCAGATCTGTGATGACTTCGAGTACAGATCCAATTCACAGCGATAACACTCACGTTGTATCGCTTGCTACAGGCTGCAATGGCTAAGGCTCACTGATCACACCATCAGACTTTTATATCAGGCTATAAAAGCTTTGTATCTGATGGGCGGGAGGCACCCTGAAATTTCTAGCACTGCAATGCTGCCACCTGTAGGAATTCAGGAAAAGAGGAGACGGATTTATTCTGATTCCGAGACGAACGATCAGTGATTAAACCAGTGGTTTGTAGACAAGTGCCGCATGACACAGTGAGCTCCCATCTCTGGCCCCAGCTCCTGCCAACCTAGCAGTTTGAAAGCAAGAAATTGCAGGTACATAAATAGATACCACTTTGGTGGGAAGGTAATAGTGTTCTGTGTGCCTCGGTGTCTAGTCATGCCGGCCACATGGCCACTGAGACGTCTTCAGACAGCGCTGACTCTTCGGCTTGGAAACGGAGATGAGCATCGCATCCCTAGAGTCGGATTCGACCGGCTTTCGAGCAAGGGAAACCTTTACCTTGTAGACATTATGCTAATGTTAACAATGAACTGCATCAGTAGCCTGGAGAGTAAGCAGAGCTTTTTCCAATATGATTCGGCCACACAAGTTCTTGGACTTCAAGACCAGACCCTTAAATCGAATCCTGTGGCAGAACCTCACGGGCTCCAATCTCTCCTGACTTGTTTCCCTCTTGGGTCGGCATGAAGCCGTTGCACAATTTGCGGGATAATGGCTATGTTTTTGTTCTCAGAGCTCAAGATTCGAAGGAGGACAACCAGGAGGCCCTTAATTATCCCTGGGAGTTCCCTCGACCGTTCACAGCGACGACAGAAACTGCAACTGCCACGCTTGCACCACGGAGCGCCACGAAGGCGTTGACGGGGTGAAGATGTGGGGCTGGAATGCAGCTGCAACCGGCGGCCAGCGATGGCCTGACGGAAGGGGGGCCAGGAGCTCACGACAGAAACCGTATGAAACGGCAGTTACGGAGTGACGAAACCACACGACGTTAAATTGAATGAAATACTTGCTCTGGAGTTAAGCAAGTGTTTCTTCATTTCCTTCCTCTGTCAAATCGTAGGACCATTTTATAATAATGGAGTCCGGGAGCCCATTCTTTGCTTCTGCACTGCAGAATGGGCGGAAGAGGGAGGCGGCACGGTGGAAGAGCCCTCACTTGGCATGCACACGTTGTTTGGGTTGACAGCCAGTTTGGTGTAGTGGTTAGGAGCACGGACTCTAATCTGGGAGAACCGGGTTTGATTCCCCACTCCTCCTCCACATGCAGCCAGCTGGCGTGTCCTTGGGTCAGTTACGGTAAGAGGGGCTGTGGCTCAGTGGCAGAGCATCTGCTTGGCATGCAGAAGGTCCCAGGTTCAATCCCTGGCATCTCCAGTTAAAAGGACCAGGCAGGAGGGGATGGGAAAGACCTCTGCCTGAGACACTGGAGAGCTGTAAAGAGGGGCTGTGGCTCAGTGGAAGAGCCTCTGCCTGGCACATAGAAGGTCCCAGGTTCAATCCCCAGCAGCATCTCCAGTTAAAAAGGGCGGGTAGTGAAGGGTGGGGTATAAATCCAATCCCTTCTCTTCCTTTTCTCCAAACCCTGGCATCTCTAGCAAAAGGATCAGGTGGCAGGTGATGCAACAGACCTCTACCTGAGACCCAGGAAAGCTGCTACCAGTCAGAGCAGACAGGGGTATAAATCCAATCCCTTCTCTTCCTTTTCTCCAAACCCTGACATCTCTAGCAAAAGGATCAGGTGGCAGGTGATGCAACAGACCTCTACCTGAGACCCAGGAAAGCTGCTACCAGTCAGAGCAGACAATACTGAACTGGGCAGACCCATGGGTCTGACTCAGCAGAAGGCAAGAACTGCTTTGGGGAGAGGCTGGTTGCTCAGTGGAAGAGCCTCTGCCTGGCACATAGAAGGTCCCAGGTTCAATCCCTGGCATCTCCAGTTAAAAGGACCAGGCAGGAGGTGATGGGGAAGACCTCCGCCTGAGACCCTGGAGAGCTGTAAAGAGGGGCTGTGGCTCAGTGGCAGAGCATCTGCTTGGCATGCAGAAGGTCCCAGGTTCAATCCCAGGTAGCTTCTGCAGTTAAAAAAAGACCAGGCAGGAGGGGATGGGAAAGACCTCCACCTGAGACCCTGGAGAGCAGCTGCCCGTCAGAGTAGAGACTAGACCGGTTCAGTCGCTCCCTGTCTTCAAGGCACAGATTTATTTTAATTATTTGATTTATATCCCGCTCTCCCCGAGAAGGCTCAGGGAAAGTCACAACATGTCAGTAAATACAGAGAATACACTGAATTAAAACACTAGAAACAATAACAACCCAAATAAACAACTAAGAAGAAGAGATTGGATTTATACTCCGCCCTTCACTTGGGAGTCTCAGAGCGGTTTACAATCTCCTTCCCCTCCCCTGTGAGGGAGGTGGGGCCGAGAGAACTCTCTCCAGAAACTGCCCTTTCAAGAACAGCTCTGACAGAACTATGGCTTGCCCAAGGTCACACCAGCAGCTGCATGTGGAGGAGTGGGGAATCAAACCCGGTTCTCCCAGATTAGAGTCCGCGCTCCTAACCACTACACCAAACTGGCTGTCAACCCAAACAACGTGTGCATGCCAAGTGAGGGCTCTTCCACCGTGCCGCCTCCCTCTTCCGCCCATTGGGAGGGCTCCAGAGCAGACTAATTTATGCAGCAGCCAAATCACTCGCTCACAACTTTAATGCCAGTAGCTCACAAAGTGGAATTTTTGCTCACAGGACTCCGCAGCTTAGAGGGAACATTGACCACGACACCAAACTAAGATGATCGTAGGCTATTCCTTCAACCTTTCCTATTGCAAGGTGCAAAGTGCGTGCGCGTGGGGAGGCGGGGGTTCTTGCCAATACACAGGTCAGCCACTGGCAACCCTGGGCCAAATCTAGCCCGATCAGTTGCCAAGAGAAGCTCACTGAGGGATTGCAGCCGCTACAGTGGGGGTAGGAGCTGGGGCTTTGTCCCTCTGCGCAGTATGGTCTTCTCCAAGCGGTTGTCTGGCAGAATTAGGAGGGGACGACAAGCACAGAACACGACCCTACTCAGGGGTCATTTCCTGCAGGAGCGCACAGGAGCAGAGCTCCAGCAGTAAAGAGCCCAGGGGGCGGGCACATGCAACAAGCCCCGCCCCCTGCTCCCAGCAGCCCTCAGTCAGAGCAAGAAGCAGCCCAGTAAGCTGCAGAGCTTTTGTTGGTGTTGTTCAGTCGCACAGTTGAGTCCGACTCTTCGCGACCCCATGGACCAGCTCCCGCCAGGCCCTCCTGTCTTCTACCGTCCTCTGAAGTTGGCTCAACGTTATGTTCGTTGCATCTATGACACTGTCTAACCATCTCCTCCTTTGCCGTCCCCGTCTTCTTTGACCTTCAGGAGGGTAGAGCTGCCCCCCCCCCCCCCCATAGCTAGCAATCCAAAACAGTCCAGTGGAGCCTGAGCGGTGGGTGTTGCCTTCCGACACTCTTCCGGTGATGTCAGGGGGTGTGGCACATGCAAATGAGTTATGCTAATGAGCCCCTGCACCTCTTTTTCTACGAAATGACCCCTGACCCTACTGACTACTGGCCTATCACGGTCTACTCTGAACGGCAGCGACTCTCCAGGGTTTCAAGGCAGAGGCCTTCCCTATCACCTACTACTGGGTTTTCTTTCTTTCGTTTTAAGTTGGAGATGCCAGGGATTGAACCTGGGATTGTATACATGCAAAGCAGACACTCTGTCACTGAGCCACAGTGAGCCCTTCCAGTTTGGTGTACTGGTAAGGAACGTGGACTCTAGTCTGGGAGAAGCGGGTTTGATCCCCCACTCCTCCCCATGCAGCTGCTGGTGTGACCTTGGGTCAGTCACAAGTTCTCTCAGAGCTGTTCTCTCAAGGGCAGTTCTTGAAAGAGCTCTTTCAGCCCCACCTACTTCACAGGCACTGTTCCCTCTAAGCTGAGTTAGTGTGAGCTAGCTCACAGTTTTTTAGCCTCCGGCGTACACATTTTTGTTGTAGCTCGGGAAGGAGGGCTCCAGAGCAAACTAATTTATGCAGCAGCCAAATCGCTCGTTCACAAAACTGTAATGCCAGTAGCCCACAAAGTAGAATTTTTGCTCACAAGGCTCCACAGCTTAGAGGAAGACTTGCTCACAGGATGTCTGGGTTTGATTCCCCACTCCTCCACTTGCACCTACTGGATGCTGCAGTTGGGCAAGCCATAGTTCTGATAAGAGCTGTCCTCGAAAAAGAGCAGTTTCTGTCAAGAGCTCTCTCAGCCCCGACTCCCTCCCAGGGTGTCTGTTGTGGGGAGGGGGAGGGAAAGGAGTTTGTAAGCCGCTCTGAGACTCCTTTGGGTAGTGAAGGGCAGGGTATAAATCCAATCTCTTCTTCTTGGGTCAGTCACAAGTTCTCTCAGAGCTGTTCTTTCAAGAGCAGTCCTCGAGAGAGCTCTCTCAGCCCCACCTGCCTCACAGGGGGTGTCTGTTGTGGGGAGGGGAAGGGAAAGGAGTTTGTCAGCCGCTCCGAGACTCCTTCGAGCAGTGAAGGGCAGGGTATAAATCCAATCTCTTCTCTTCTTCTTCCTCACAAATCAGTTCAGAAAGAAAGCAACGTATACTCCCCGGGAAAGAGAGCCACGCTGAGCCACAGACACTCACCCTCTTAATTTTCTTGTTGCGCGGCCGTAGCTCCGCCTTCTGTATCGAGCAGCGCACCAGCAGCAGCAGGTCGTCCAGGCGGAAGAGCTTGTAGACCAGGTTGCCCTGCAGGGGGGCTTCATACTCAGCAAGGTCTTCGAAGGCGTCCCGAAGCGACCCTTTCAGAGAGAGAGAGGGAACAAAAAAGGCAGCCGTGTCTCCTGCCTGTGCACCATTGGGAAGAATTTTTCCTGTCCTTCCCTCAGCGTTGGAAAATATCGTTCGAATAACTGATAGGTTGGATCCAGAGAGAGCCAGTGTTTAAGAGTGTCAAGCCCCAAGGAAGTCTGGCTCACCTCGATTAGGGGCCAGCGCCTTTTCAGCCCTGGCCCACCCCAGCCTGATGGAAGAAGCTCCCTCTTGGCACAATTCCACTGAGCCTGCAAGACGGAGCTCTTCCGCCGGGCCTTCGGATAAGGCGGCAGGCATCCTATCCAGTGATAGCCAAAAGAAAGTATAAAGGTTTGGAAAGCCTAAAATTTCCTGGTGGCAGCCTCACCTACCCACTTGAACAACATCACAAGAACACTTTAAAGTGAAACCAGGCCTCCCCAGATAAGGGGTCATCACACATCCAAACTGTATCTCGGCCTCCCCTGCTGACAATGCTGGCCAAACGGATCCAGCTCAAATGGAGCATCACCGTTGAGGCGGATCCACCCTGCTTTGTGTCTGATTGGGTTATATGAGAAATATGGTGTTTTTTAACTACTTGATTAATCCCACTTTATTGGCAGGTTTTTAAGCTAGCGAGATTCACTCTTTTCCCCTCAGCTATTGTTTTAGGCAGATATAGGAGTATACCATATAGGGACAGAACCTGCAATTGCCTCTATAGTGAACCTGATTCAGTTGCTCATATCCTTCTACGTTGTCCTCATTATTCTACTCTGCGTAGCTATCTGATTAGTCCCCACTTACCTACCACAAGGAATCCGACTGACAACGACCTTAAAATTTTATTGTCTGATAAGTTCTCGGCAATTACTCTGTCTGTTGCCGGATTCTTAGCCTATGTTTGGAAGCTTAGGGTAAGGGAGTATGACCCCCTTGTATTCTTTAGAATTGTTATATTCTCAACTGAGTTTATTATTTCTGAGAAGTTTAAAAACGATCCCTTGTTGGTGCAGCTTGGGGTAATGTGTCATGCTCTATTATTTCGTTCTATTTATTTTCTATTTGTTTCATTGTTCTCTTTGCTGCTGTGTTATGCCAATAAAGGTCTATGCATGCATGCAACTACTTGATTATATTGTTACTTTGTGGTTTGTAACCCGACCTGAGCCCACTTGCAGGGGGGGGGGCGGGGTAAAAATCGGATTAAATAAATAAACAGAAGAAGAAGAGGTGGAGGAGGAGGAGGAGATTGGATTTGTATCCCGCCCTTCACTGCCCGAAGGAGTCTCAGAGTGGCTTACAGTCTCCTTTCCCCACCCCTCCGCAGAATAAACAAACAAACTAGGCCCTGACCTGGACGGCCCAGGCTAGCCCGATCTCGTCAGACCTTGCAAGCTGAGCAGGGCCGACCCTGGCAAGGACCTCTAAGGAATACCAGGGCCGGGACGCAGAGGCAGGCAATAGCAAGGCCCGGTAAGGTTTGCCAGAAGACACCATGACTTCCAGGCACGCGAGGACACAGATTCATACACACACACAACTAAAAAAATGTCAAAATGTCAAACTAGGATCTGGGAGAATCCCCACCGGTGCCATGGAAGCTCGCTGCCTTTCTAGCATATGCACTAGCCCTGTCTGGTCTGAATTCTTCCTTCCTTGCTTATATTCCCCGTTATGTTTGATGAAGGCCACTCAAGACCAATGTTCCCTCTAAGTTGTGGAGTCTTGTGAGCAAAAATTCTACTTTGTGAGCTACTGGCATTAAAGTTGTGAGCGAACGATTTGGCTACTGCATAAATTAGTTTGCTCTGGAGCCATCCTTCCTGAGCTAAGACAAAAATGTGTGAGGCTAAAAAACTGTGAGCTAACTCACACTAACTTAGCTTAGAGGGAACACTGCTCAAGACCTATTGGTCAGAGGAGTAAAGAAATAAGAAAAAAAGCTCGCTGGGTGACCTTTGGGCCAGTCACCTGCTCTCAGCCTCACTGACCTCACAGGGCTGTTGCGAGGATCAGAAGAACAATGTAAGCAGCTCTGGGTTCCAACTGGGGGGGCGGGGAAGGCAGCTTATGCATGAATTAAATAAAAATAAAAACCAGCCTCAGGGAAGAAACTGTTGATAAGGCTGGCCCAGAAGGGGCTTACAAGGAGCTAAGACGGAGGTGACGTTTTGCCCTGTTATGTACCAATTACCTACTGGCCCAGGCAAACTCCCCCCCAAACTCACCTTTTTGAGATCCCTGAAAGTGTGATAACCAGGTTGACTTAGGTAAGGTGCCGGTCACCACAGTAGTGCTCTGCCCAGGCTCCAGAGTAGAAACCACCGAGGCTTCCGACACAAGAGGCGTCTGGCTTGGTGTCGGATTCGAGCAGTTCTCGGCGCTCCCTTCCGCCCGTTCTGGAGAGCTGGGAGGCGGCGCTTTGCGAAGCTCAGTTTGCATTTTCAACGTCTGCCCGACAGAACCGGACCCTTCAGGCAGCTCCTGAGCGTTTGTCTCCTGGTCCGGAACCTTTGAAGAATCCTTCGGTTTTTCTGGCAGGTCTTGTGTAGAGCAAGGAAACTCGGGACTGTCTGCTACCGAGCTTTGGCTAGACGGGACCACAACAGGTTTGACATTATTGGTATTTTCACATTCTACATCCATGACTAAAGATTCCTCTTCGGAGTCACTCTCGCAGGGCGGAACACTTGGGTTATTGTCCCTTTTATCTTCTTGGACAGCGGGTGCGCCCTCGCCGCTCAGTCCAGCTGCCGTCGATTCAACACCTTGACCCGAGGTGCCTCCTTTACTATCCAGTTCCAAGGCAGACCCAGTTGAGGGTGTCCTGTTTAAACGTTGCCCGCTGCCGTAGGCCGAAGCCGGGTGGTCGCCGCCTTTGCTGCTTTTTTCGCCCGTCCCTCCGCTCACTTCCGACAACAGCCGTTTCTCCATTCTCAAGAGCTCCTCCAGCCCAATTTTAGGGGCATTCGCTGGTTTCGCAGGAGCGCTCTGCGGTTTGGAAATGTTCAGAGCCTTTGAGCTTGAGCCGAACGTTTCTAGTTCCGTGACGTCGGTGTCAAAATCTAGATCCGTGGGATCCGATACTCGCATCTGTCTACCTTGGCATGTTTCAGGAGCGTCCAGCTGCGTGGGCGAGAGGGAGAGAAAGTACCTGTAACACGGCAAGTTTCAGAGGGGAGCCATATTTATACGGCCTGGGACCCACATACCTAAGGGACCGCCTCTTCCCATATACGCCTCGGAGAGCATGACGCTCTTGGAGTCAACAGCTCCTGGTAGTCCCTGGCCTGAAAGACGTCCGCCTAGCCTCGGCCAGGGCCAGACCCTTTTCTGCCCTGGCACCCACCTGGTGGGACATGCGCCCTATTGAGATCAGGCCCCTGCGGGATCTGATGCAATTCCGTAGGGCCTGCAAGACAGAGCTCTTCCGCCAGGCCTTTGGCTGGAGCAGCGGGCGTCCACATATCCCCCCCCCCGAGGTTGCCATCTCCCACCTACTGATAACCGGCCATACTCAGTTACATTAATGGGCCGGATTCTCCCTACGGCAAGCGTTGACTACTGATTTTTTTTTTTAAATTTATCTTTGAATTTATACCTCGCCCTACCCGAAGGCTCAGGGCGGCTCACAAGGGGCATGAATGCCCAAGTTAAAACATTAAAACAGTACAGAATAATATAAAATACAATAAATACAATTCACTAAATTTACTTAACGGTGCTCTAAATGATTTAACTATAAAAGTTCAAGATACGTTTTAATGCGTTTTAGATTTTATCGTATTTATTAAAATGTTGTGACCCGTTTATGGGATGGGCGGGATATAAATGCGAAAAATAAATAATAAATAAATATTGGTCTGGAGCAGAACGGTGGATTGTGAGAGGGAGGGCAGGAAGGGTGGCCTCAGGGCTTAGTTCTCGGGGCCCTTCCTTACACGCCCAGGGAAATGCCGATGGCCACTTTAAGAACATAAGAACACAAGAGAAGCCCGTGTTGGATCAGGCCAATGGCCCATCCAGTCCAACACTCTGTGTCACACAGTGGCCAAAAATACCAGGTGCCATCAGGATGTCCAGCAGTGGGGCCAGGACACCAGAAGCCCTCCCACTGTGGACCCCCCCCCCACAGCACCAAGAAGACAGAGCATCCCTTGCCCCAGAGCCCCTACCTATACCTTGTGGCTAATAGCCACTGATGGACCTCTGCTCCATTTGCTTATCTAATTCCCTTTTGAAGTCGTCCATGCTTGTAGCCGCCACCACTTCCTGTGGCAGTGAATTCCATGTGATCACTTTGGGATCAGGAAGCAACTTTTCTCCACGCCAGTTTGGCCGGGGATCCTGGAGGGTTTTTTGTCATCTTCTGGGCATGGAGCAGGGGTCACTGGGGGTGAGTTCTCTTTTGCCATGTCTTATGCCAATGCTCTGTTATGGATCTCTAAGCCTCTGTAGTTTGTGTTTCGGAATGTGGGGGGGGGGAGCTGCATGTGTGCGTGTGTGCCTGCTTGGCTTTGTTGCTTAGTAACTGTTTTCCTAAGGGCGCCTCCCACGAAGTGGGAAGATACTAACTCTCCTTGGAGTCAGTCTGTGCTTGCCGTCCTGTAACTGTTTTCCTAAGGGCGCCTCCCATGAAGTGGGAAGATACTAACTGACCTTGGAGTCAGTCTGTGCTTACCGTCCTGTCTTAGAGAAAAAACTGTAGGTTCACAGGTAGGTGTGCGTGTGAAGGTGCGCTCATTTCGGTGGGCTGAATGAAATGTGTGATTGGCCGGGCTTTTTTGGGGGGGTAATGGGGTGTAACTTCTGGGTTGGCTGTTGTTTCAACAGTCCTGACACAAGGACGTCTTAGCTTGTAGCATCTTGCTTAGTAACTGTTTTCCTAAGGGTGCCTCCCACGAAGTGGGAAGATACTAACTGACCTTGGAGTCAGTCTGTGCTTGCCGTCCTGTCTTAGAGAAAGAACTGTAGGTTCACAGGTAGGTGTGTGTGTGAAGGTGCGCTCATTTCGGTGGGCTGAATGGAATGTGTGATTGGCCGGGCTTTTTTTGGGGGGGGGTAGGTGTTTGAATGGGGTGTAACTTCTGGGTTGGCGCTTGTTTCGACAGTCCTGACACAAGAACGTCTTAGCTTGTAGCAGCTCTGCATCTCAATAAACAAATCTTTGAAAAGAGAGTGTTGTCGAGTCTGAAGTTTGCACAAGAGTCTGACAGGTCGTTGCGAATTTCCTGCATTGTGCAGGGGGTTGGACTAGATGACCCTGGAGATCCCTTCCAACTCTATGATTCTATGATTCTAGCTAGGTTAGAGTCCAAGAGCAGCTTAGAGGCCAGAAGATTTTTTGGGTAGGAGCTTTAGGAGGGTAAAAGGTAGGTATGTGATGAAGGGAACTTTTGAAAGTTCATATCCCAAAAACCCTGCTGATCTCTACGGTGCGACCGGACTTGCATCTAGCTGTGCTGTAGCAAGCCACTCATAAAAACGGAACAACATGTTCTTAACATCCACACACCAAGAATTTCCCAAAGGAGGGGAACGTTCAAAATGTGCAACTATTCTCAAAGTCAGTTGAGGCGAGCGTTGAAAAGAAATTACAGAACGGTTCAAGGGTAATCCATGCATTTGCTTTAATTTCGCCATGTACGCTGTCGCCATGGCACATTAAAAGCGCTGATAATGCAAGAGCCGGCATGTACTGGACAGCGTGTTGTCCTTGGCCTAGGAAGATCTGGGTTCAAATCCTTTCCCAGACACTGGGCAACAGTAGGCCAGGCCCTCAGGTGAACCTACCTTATGGGTTATTGGGCAGATAAAACTAGATTATCCCATGCACGTTGCTCTAAACACTTGGAATAAGGGTGAAACGTGGTAAGTCTATTTTTCCAGTACTCCAGATGTGGCAGAATTTGGGGTTCGATGAACCTGTGCCTTTCTGTTCTTCTATGCTATGAGGATTTTGCTACAACTGACTTTGGTTCCTAGGTTCTGAAATCACATAAGCCTTTGCTCTTTTGCTGGCAGTCTAGGCGTCAAAACTAAAGCCTTGCCCTGTAGGTGTACCTTTGCCTGAATTCACATCCCACGGCCTTCCAAGGGCCAGGCCCCAAAGCCTAAACATATCTGTCCAGGTCTTTCTGATATCACAGTTAATAAAATATAGCTAGGTGAAAATTCATACTAGCAAAAGTTCATCTTATCAACTCAAGATGGGCTGGTATTTGGCGAGTTTGGTATATTTAAATTAAGAAGAGAGAAGAAGAGAAGAGATTGGATTTATACCCCACCCTTCACTACCCAAAGGCGTCTCAGAGCAACTTAGAAACTCCTTTCCCTTCCCCTCCCCACAACAGGACACCCTGTGAGGTAGGTGGGGCTGAGAGAGCTCTTTTGAGGACTGCCCTTGAGAGAACAGCTCTGACAGAACTATGGCTTGCCCAAGGCCATCCAGCAGGTGCAAAAGGAGGAGTGGGGAATCAAGCCCGGTCCTCCCAGATTAGAGTCCACGCACTTAACTACTACACCACTTGACTCCTCCCTTGATTCCTATTGGCTGAAAGGAGTTTGAAAAGGAGGCTTTGGGCTTTGTTTGGGGCTGTTTGGCCAACACCCCACCTAGGCTTGAGTGAAGCCTTGGTCCACAGTCCAGGGATTCCTTGTTCCTTCTCAAGTGTACACTATATCAGGTATTGGGATTTTTCTATAGCCTATTGGGTACTGATATTGAAGAGTCCGCGGTGGCTCAGAGGTTAAGATGCTGAGCTGCAGACTGAAAAGTCTGTAGCTTGGCAGTTCAAGACCCGAGTGTGGCGTGACGGAGTGAGCTCCCATCTCTGGCCCCAGCTCCTGCCAACCTAGCAGTTAGAAAGCAAGAAATTGCAAATAGATAAATAGGTACCACTTCGGTGGGAAGGTAACAGCGTTCAGTGCACCTCGGCGTCTAGTCATGCCGGCCACATGACCACAGAAATTTCTTCGGACAGCGCTGGCTCTTCGGCTTGGAAATGGAGATGGGCACCGCCCCCCTAGAGTTGGATTCGACTGGCTTTCGAGCAAGGGAAACCTTTACCTTTTAAAATTGATACTGAATATACGCTATTGAGTTTTACTTGTGTATGGTTTTAGATTTAATAAATCCTTTTGGTCTAAGGCAACTCTTCTGGCTCTGTTTCTCTCCCTCTGGAGTCCTGAATTCCCTGGCCAGACTCCACCCACCCACAGAAGAAAATCCTAATGGGGTTGGGGATCCCTAGAAGAGGCCTGGACCCCTAAAATTCCCCTACACCAGCGTTCCCTCTAAGCTGAGTTAGTGCGAGCTAGCTGACAGTTTTTTAGCCTCCGGCGCACACATTTTTATCTCAGCTCAGGAAGGATCCCCCCCCGAACCTTCACATTCATAGCCTGTGGCACCCTGAGGAACCTCCTGGATTGAAAGACAAGAGAGAAATCGAATAAATATATATACACAAATGGGATTTTTCCCCCAAAAGGGGGAGGCTGCGGCAGAAGGAAGAATTATTATTCTTAAAATGCTTTAATGCTGACTTTCCAACCCGATCAGGGAGGCCAAGACAGCAAACGTTAAAAAAACATTAAAACCTTTCAAACAATTAAAATACGTTGAAATTAAAATTCAACACATACACAAGACAACCCCAGAGCCATGAAGGAGGACGGGTAACCGTTATGGGGGCGTATGCCCAATGAAACAAAAAAAGTCTTGACCGGCTGGCGAAAGATACTGATAGAGGGAGACAGACAAAACCTCCCTGGGGAGCGAGTTCTAAAAATACCAGCAGGTGTTGTGTGAGAGGGAGGTGTGGCCAAAGGGACGCAAGCAGAGATTCTGAGAGGCACAAGAGAGCCGCCCTGGATCCGGATGCTTCGATTCCCGGCGACTTTGTCGGCAGCGGCTGCTTTCTAATGCCTTGCAGAAATTCTTAGCTGTACGAAGCGGAGACGAAAACTGCCCGGTGTCACAGAACAAATGTTTCACCAAACAAAATACACCATAACAGATGGGAGCGCCCCTGCTATAACAGACGTTTCAGCCCCTAAGGCAGAAGTGGCTATTTTCTGATGAAAAAAAGCACACACAACTATTGTTCCCTCTAAGCTGAGTGAGTGCGAGCCAGATCACGGTTCTTTAGCCTCCGGCTCACAGATTTTTGTCTCTGCTCGGGAAGGACGGCTCCAGAGCAAACTAGTTCATGCAGCAGCCAAATCGCTCACTCACAACTTTAATGCCCGTAGCTCACAAAGTAGAGTTTTTGCTCACAAGACTCCACAGCTTAGAGGGAGCGTTGCACACAACCTCCCAGGTTAAGACTCTCAGGATTCTGCATCAGATATCTAATTGTCTGCAAAATCATGGACAACAAACTGCCCCATAATACACCCCAAAAATCTTGTTGGTATCCAAAGCGCTACTGTACTCAAATGTAGCTGTTCTCACAGTGTCCTGTAATCGGCAGGAAAACCAAGTTCATCTTAACTTCTCAAGGAAAGCTGAACGGGTGTAAAACTAGGGTACCCTTGAGGTAAAGAACAGGACTACGTACATTCTCGGGGTCTCTGTGGCGCTTGTCCAGTATGGGAGTGCACGCCAAAACACTGGATTGCTTCGTGGTGTGGAAATCTGCCAGGAATTCGTGAAAAAACTGGTTCTTCTCCCTCACAGTCATCTCTTTCTTTGGGAGAGGGGGATCGATGTAAACCACTCTGACTGGTTCACTGCCTTGAAAAAGAAAGAAAGGTGTTTGCAGTTATTTTTAGATGCAGGCTTATTAAGTTAAATTCTGTTTGAGTGAACTCAGGAAGCTGCCTTATACTGAATCAGACCCTCAGTCCATCAGGGTCAGTACTGCCTACTCAGACTGGCAGCCGCTTTCCAGGGTCTCAAGCAGAGGAAAGTCTTTCCCGTCACCTCCTGCCTGATCCTTTTTAAACTGAAGATGCCAGGGATTGAACCAGGGACCTTCTGCATGCCAAGCAGAGGCTCTTCCACTGAGCCACGGCCCCTCCTTACAGCTCTCCAGGGTCTCAGGCTGAGGTCTTTCCCATCACCTCCTGCCTGGTCCTTTTAACTGGAGATGCTGGGGATTGAACCAGGGACCTTCTGCATGCCAAGCAGAGGCTCTTCCACTGAGCCACAGCCCCTCTTCACAACTCTCCAGGGTTTCAGGCGGAGGTCTTTCACATCACCTACTGCCTGGTCCTTTTAACTGGAGATGCTGGGGATTGAACCAGGGACCTTCTGCATGCCAAGCAGAGGCTCTTCCACTGAGCCACAGCCCCTCTTCACAGCTCTCCAGGGTTTCAGGCGGAGGTCTTTCACATCACCTAATGCCTGGTCCTTTTAACTGGAGATGCCTGAGATTGAACCCCTTCTGCTGTTTCCTGAATAACAATTTAGAAGTTTAACATATCCTTTCTCCAAATCTGGTATTTGCTATACATGTGAGAATAATATTCACATACTTATTTATCTGAGTCTTAAGTCACTGCTTACCCAAAGGATCTCGCAGCGACTTACAACACTTAAACAACATCACAGCAGATAACAACCAAGAAAACAAGTTAATACGTATAAAAGAAGAAGAGATTGGATTTATAACCCGCCCTTCACTACCCAAAGGAGTCTCAGAGCGGCTTACAAGCTCCTTTCCCTTCCCCTCCCCACAACAGACACCCTGTGATGCAGACACCCCGTGATGTAAGTGGGGCTGAGAGAGCTCTCTCAAGAACTGCCCTTGAGAGAACAGCTCTTGGGAGAACTTGTGATTGACCCAAAGTCACGCCAGCAGTTGCATGTGGAGGAGTGGGGAATCAAACCCAGTTCTCCCAGATTACAGTCCGCGCACTTAACCACAACACCAAACTGGCTCTCTAAAACATTAACATACATAGCTCCACACCATACCACTATCAAACCAGCCCAAAACACCCGGTTAGCCTCAAAAGGCCAACCTGAACAATTCGACCTTTCAGAGGCAGCTTTCGAGAAGAGGCCGGACGAATATTTGTCAGGGATGCTTTAGGCAGGTCCTGCATTGGGCAGGGGGCTGGATTAGATGGTCTGTATGGCCCCTTCCCACTCTCTATGATCCAATACTGCCTTGACTCTGCCTTCCTGAACAACCCGTGAACTCTGACTGCTGCTAAACTGGTTTTTGACCCCTGGGCTGGACGCTTGACTGTGGCCTAGCTCTGTGGCCTTACTCGGCCTGTATCCCAGGACAAGAGAGTGCATTCCACCAGCATATTGTGGTAAAATAAGCACCAGCATATTGTGGTATTCTGGCGCAGTTTGGCTAGCGTGCTGCCCACTAAACCATGCAGCTCAGCAGTAAAATCATTTTGAAAACAGAGGAAAAAGACACACACACACACACACCTACCTGCAACAGAGATGTTTTTCACTGAAACCGGAAGCTCCCACGGCTCCTTATAGTTCAGGCCGTGATTGTTCAGCAAGGTAAATAAGGACTCGGTCGTCAGCACGATCTGAGGACAATATTTCGATGCGAGTTTCTCTGCATTCGGGTCTGTGCTAACATCCTTTAGAAGAAGCAGAAGACGTTGAAAGGACAAGAAGTCGGTAAGGATGGAAAATATTACGTTCCATGGTTTGGTGCGGACTTCATGACCTGAGCTTTTGACTGGCTGTGGGGATGGGGGTGTGCTATTTCTACAGAAGGACTTTAGCAATGTCATCTGAACACTTATAGAGTAGCCAGCAACCATGTACGGCAGGGGTGTCGAGCTCATTTGTTATGTGGGCCAGATCTGACATAAATGAGACTTTGTTGGGCCGGGCCGTGTGTGTCATAAAATGTGATGCCAGGTAGTGGAGATATAAACTTTATAAAGGACACAAACACAAAGGGTTTTTTTCAGTACTTAAAATAAAAACGTGCTTAAAACATTAGCACTCTTGCAATATTTTGTTTATTTAACAGTGTCTGATAACTGACACCTCTTGCTCTGAATTACTGCATCAAAATGTCTGTGCTGTTGCAATTTTGAGTATGCTGTCCAGGTGTGTATCTGTAAGCTGCAAACCTAAGATGACGCAGCAGCAGCAGAACTGGAAGAAGAAGCAGAAGACAGCCAGTTCCACTGCGGGCCTGATAGAAGCCCTCCGGGGGCCTGGTACGACCCCCGGGCAGCATGTTTGACACCCCTGATGTACGGTTTGAATCTGAAACAGCATTTGTACACATGTGAGTCAACTGACAAGTTCTCTGCTGCAGCTACTCTTAAACTGTGACCCGCAGGGTGCGTTTTAGGTGCCAGCTGTCTACTTACGTGGTGCAGTCGGGAAGCTCTCTGCTCTGGAGTTGTAACAGCTGATTTGTTTTTAATACTAGCAGGAAGCTGTATCTGGGCAGGCATGTTTGGAAAGTGCAGCTTAAGGAGATTCACGTTTCCCTTGAAGAGAAATAAATTAAAAAAAAGGATTCGCACTTTTAGTGTGGCTTCCAAACAGTGACCTTTTAGGGATATCTATCTTTGAAGGCTGAACACTTCAGTTTGGTGCAGCAGTTGAGTGCGCGGACTCTAATCCAGGGGAACCAGGTTTAATTCCCCACTCCTCCACTTGCAGCTGCTGGATGACCTTGGGCAAGCCATCGTTCTGTCAGAGCTGTTCTTGGAAGAGCTCTCTCAGCCCCGCCTACCTCACAGGGTGTCTGTTGTGGGGAGGGGAAGGGAAAGGAGATTGTCAGCCGCTCTGAGACTCTGAGTGAAGGGTGGGCTATAAATCCAATCTCTTATTATTATTCTTCATGACTGAAGAAGAGATTGGATTTATACCCCGCCCTTCACTTGGAGTCTCAGAGCGGCTTACAGTCTCCTTCCTTTCCTCTCCCCACAACAGACACCCTGGGAGGTAGGTGGGTCTGACAGAGCTCTTTCAAAGACTGCTCTTGAGAGAACAGCTCTCAGAGAACTGTGGCTGACTCAAGATCACACCAGCAGCACAAGGAGATTGTAAGCTGCACTGAGACTGTTTCGGGTAGTAAAGGGTGGTGGCTCAAGTGGTTTATCCGCCAAGGAGATTAGAACTGCTTTACAGGAGGATGGCTCAAGTCGTTAAGACGCTAAACTGCAGGCTGTGGAAGGTCAGTAGTTCAGCAGTTCGAGACCCGAGTGTGCCGCATGACGGAGTGAGCTCCCGTCTCTAGTTCCAGCTCCTGCCAACCTAGCAGTTCGAAAGCAAGAAATTGCAAGTAGAGAAATAGGTACCACTTCGGTGGGAAGGGAACAGCGTTCCGTGCGCCTTGGTGTTTAGTCATGCCGACTACATGACCACGGAAACGTCTTCGGACAGCGCTGGCTCTTCGGCTTTGAAACGGAGATGAGCACCGCAGCCCTAGAGTCGGACTCGACTGGCTTTCGAGCAAGGGAACCTTTACCTTTTATAAATCCAAATTCCTCTTCTTCTTCTTTTTCTGTCCCGGAAGCATTCCACTGCACGCGCCTTCAGTACAACCAGCTTCTAACGCAGAGGTGTTGAACTCAGTTGTTATGAGGGCCGGATCTGACACAAAATTCTCTTTGTCAGGCTGGGCCATGTGTGCCTTAAAACATAATGCCAGGTACCGGAGACAGAGACTGTGTAAAGGACATGCAGCTGCTAAGCTCCAAATTGGTGTGTCCTCACTGCAAGACCCACTGGCTGGGAGGGGGGTGCAGAGGAAACCCCACAGAGGCGGACCGGAGAGGCAGCAGTGTAGCGCTGGGAAGATGCCCCCAACGATGCTTGACTGCTGCAGACGAGGTTGTTCTGCTGTGCCCCGGGCCTAACGTTCGACACCCTATTCCACTGCCTTGGGAGACTCAAAAGCAGTTATGAGATCTTAGGGGTCATTCTGCTCGTGGGGAAGGCCACGAGGGGCCAGACAGAGGGACCGATTAGCTCAGCAGTCTGTCTCGCAACAAGGCCATCCAAGTTATTTAGAACTAATTTAAGTCCGCCTCATTCCAAAGAAGATATGGAAAAATATTTATACTTATTTATTTATAATTAGATTTCTACCCCGCCCTCCCGCCGAAGCGGCTCAGGGCGGCTTACCATTTTAAAACCAACATAACATACAGTCAATAAAATTACAGAAAAATACAATTTAAAACCAATTAGAAAGTGGCGGTGTGATATTATAAAGTGCAAATGCAACACAACCGATGAAGTCATTCTTACTGGAAATAGATGACACTGTGTATAGTACCGTGTTTCCCTGAAAATAAGACACTGTCTTATATTTATTATTTCTCAAGAGGACACACTAGGGCTTATACCACAAATGCATAGAAATCCTGCTAGGGCTTATTTTTGGGGTAGGTCTTATTTTCGGGGAAACAGGGTAGATGTATGGTTAAGGTGCTTTTTATTTTTCTTTCTTAGATTTTTATATACTATTGTAAAAATACTGGTGTCGAGTATTGCCAAACATAGGTGTCACCAAAACAATACATCAAAGTGCACGTTTACACTCCGTTCAAACATTCAAACAGCACCTTGTCAGTTTCACAATCACTACTCCCAAGGGACTGTGGTAATTTACCTGTATCGAACACAATCTTTTTCAAGGACAGTGATGTAATTACGGGACATAAGGCACAATAAATTCTCTTTGTGAGAATAAAATTCTTACAATGGCAAAGAGCACCACATTTTCTAGGGTCCGTCGGAACCCTTGCGGCAAACATAATAAGTTATTCTAGGAGAACAGGTCTCTCAAGTTCTATCAGGCCGCCTGACCTTGAACTTTGAATACCTAAGGGTTCTCATGCGGAAGAGGGCAATGGTTTGTCCTCTGCTGCTCCAGAGGACAAGACCAGATCTAATGGGCTTCAGTTAGAGGACAGGAGAGTTCAGCTGAAGAGTGGGAGAAAAAGAGATGGGATGCATACCCCACCCTTCACTACCCGAAGGAGTCTCAAAGCGACTGACAATCCCCTTCCCTTCTCCTCCTCACAACAGACACCCTGTGAGGTAGGTGGGGCCGAGAGAGCTCTCTCGAGGACTGCCCTTGAGAGAACAGCTCTGAAAGAACTTATGCCTAACCCGAGGTCACGCCAGCAGCTGCATGTGGAGGAGGAGGGGGGAATCAAACCCAGTTCTCCCAGATTAGAGTCCACGCTCCTAACCGCTACACCAAACTGGCTCTCAAAGAAGAAGAAAGAGGAGGAGATTGGATTTATACCCCGCCCTTCACTACCCAAAGGAGTCTCAGAGTGGCTTACAAACTCCTTTCCCTTCCCCTCCCCACAACAGACATCCTGTGAGGTAGGCGGGGGGCCTGAGAGAGCTCTGACAGAACCTGCTCTTTTTCAAGGACAGCTCTGACAGAACTATGGCTTGCCCAAGGTCATCCAGCAGCTGCAAGTGGAGGAATGGGGAATCAAACCCGGTTCTCCCAGATCAGAGTTCGCACTCCTAACCACTATACCAAACTGTCTCTCTAACGTTAAGAAGATGGCAGCTCTCCTACACTGAAGGTCTTCAACCAAAAAACAGTTCACCTATAGCAGCAAGACAGGACCCATTTGAAGCACAACCATGCCCGATGACAGCGTCTCTCTTTCTAACCGGAGTGGACATTATGGCCACAGAGAGCCTCAGCCCTAAGAAAACCACACAGGAGTCTTCTGCATCTCTTCACCCATTCACCTGTCGAGCGCACCTTACCAGAACAACAAGGCTGGCTTCCAGTTTCAAGGTCAGTTCCGTGCTAAACTTTCCCCCCATGATGCTGGTAACTTCATGCAGGGTATAACATTCCGGATATTTCTTCACAGAGCCAATGCAAGAGCTTAAAAATCTCTGGTGGGAGAAAGAAAAGACACACAGCAGGATAGTTCACAACAGTGGAACCAGTTACAAAAATTCTACTAGGTTCAGAACAGCTGGTCTGCAACAGAACAGCTAGATTTGAATCCAGCACCTTAAGAGTCACAGCTCTCTGCTTCAGATACCTGATGAAGCATCTGACAAAGGAAGCTTTGACCCTTGAGAGCTCACACCCTGAAAATTTTGTCACTCTTTTACGGTGTTACTGGACTCGAATCTAAACATTATACTGATGTAAAACACTTTATGGTTTATACCAGGGGTGTCATGTAGCCCGGGGGTTGGATCAGGCCCCCGGAGGGCTTCTATCAGGCCTGCAGAGGAACTGACTGTCTTCTACTTCTTCTTCCAGTTCTGCTGCTGCGTCATCGTAGGTTTGCAGCTTACAGATACACACCTGAACGGCATACTCAAGATTGCAACAGCACAGACATTTTGATGCCATAATTCAGAGCAAGAGGTGTCAGTTATCAGACACTGTTAACAAAATATTGCAACAGTGCTAATGTTTTAAGCACGTTTTTATTTTAAGTTAAAAACCCCACCCTTTGTGTTCCTGTCCTTTATAAAGTTTATTTCTCCGCCACCTGGCACTACATTTTATGACACACGTGGGCCGGCACAACAAAGACTCATTTATGTCAGATCCGGCCCTCATAACAAATGAGTTCGACACCCCAGGTTTATATGGCTGTGGAAATTCAGTTCTGAAACTGAAAGTACAGACAGCGAAATTCCATTTCCCCTTTACTTCTTCCTTCCAGTCCTTACTCTTGTCTTCCCACAAAACTGTCTCTTCTGCTCCAAATCCATTAACCAAACTGCCCTACAACTGCTGCAGCAACCCAAAATGGTACCCCAATTCAGGTCAGTGTGTGTATGTTTTAATGTCTGTGTGGCCCGATCCTGTCAGATCTCGGAAGCTAAGCAGGGTGGGCCTTGGCTAGTATTTGGAAGGGTGACCTCCAAGGAATACCAACTTGTTACACAGAGGCAGGCGATGGCAAAAGCACCTCTGAAACGTCTCCTGCCTTAAAGAACAAGTCTTTCTCGCCCCCTAGTGGTGCATAACGCTAAAGGAGATAGAACTTCTGGCTGCGACATAATCTTAGGATCTCCTGGCTATTCTATACAAACTGTCATATGATAATAACTGTTATTACCCAGAGATGCTCATAAGGTTTTGGGGTTTTCTTGGCAGGAGGGTTTCCAGAACAGGTGGATTTATGAATGTAGATTTCCTGCAAACCTGGAGGCTGCCCAGTAGCTATGGCTGGCCCCGTTACGCTGATTAAATAAACTGCTTTCGTTTTATTTTCCAAATGGGCTCATAAAAGCCCAAAGTTGACTTCTGTGTGGGAATTACTCCTCACTCTTTCTTTTCCCACATTAGCCACATGCAGAGTATCTAATGATGACTGGTACAGCTACTCCCCCGACGTAGCATTTTTTAACACGTAAAAATTAAATCTATAAGCCACCTCGTTTTTAAGCTATGCTTACTAAACAGAAAAAGGAACCAAATCAGTCCTTTACACTTACATATTTTAATTCCTCCCCCCCATTAATTCACAGCTGATTTATGGCAACCCCATGAGGTTTTCATGGCCAGAGACGTTCAGAGGTGGTATTGCCAATGCCTGCCTCTGCGTAGCCACCCTGGACTTCCTTGGCGGTCTCCCATCCAAGGACTAACCAGGGCCGACCCTGCTTCGCTTCCGAGATCTGATGAGATTTATTTATTTATTTCATTAGACTTATAGCCCACCCTCCCCTGCAAAACTTGGCTCAGGGCAGGTAACACCAAACAAAACCTAATACAATTAAAACATTATTGAATCTAAATATAATAAATACAATAAATATCATAAAAATACAATTAACTGTAACAGAAGAAGGAGGAGGAGGAGACTGGATTTCTACCCCGCCTTTCACTACCCAAAGGAGTCTCAGAGTGGCTGACAAACTCCATTCCCTTCCCCTCCCCACAACAGACACCCTGTGAGGTAGAAGAAGAAGAGACTGGATTTACACCCCGCCCTTCACTACCCAAAGGTGTCTCAGAGGGGCTTACCGTCTCCTTTTCCTCCCCCTCCCCACAACAGGCACCCTGTGAGGTAGGTGGGGCTGAGAGAGCTCTGGCAGAAACGGCTCTTTTTCAAGGACAGCTCTTATCAGAACTATGGCTTGCCCAAGGTCAACCAGCAGGTGCAAGTGGAGGAATGGGGAGTGAAGCGGGGGGAAGTAGAGTGAGGGGAGGCCAATCAGAGATGGAGAACCGTTGCTACCCTCAACCATAACCCTGGCGGAACAGCTCCGTTTTACAGGCCCTGCAGGGCTGCATCAGACTGAGCGAGCCTGGGCTCTCCGGACCAGGACTTACGCTTGTTACCTTGGAGTAAAGTAACGCCTCTTCAGAGATGGAGTTGTAATCTTCGGCGCATGACCTGGCGGCATTCTGGGCAAACTTCAGAAACTCCGCAACCTCTTTGCTCACGAATTCTTTCATTTGCTGAAACAAAAGGCCAGCCCGCAGTCAACGAAACAGTTCCATTCTGACAGCATCTCCCTATTGTTTTAGTAACCATGACCCCATACGTTAAATGCGCTCACATTTACATACACCTGTGATTTTAAAAGGAAGAGAACATTAGGCAGATCCTGTGGACTGAGGCAGATCACGAGAGGGAGGGCAGGAAGGGTTGCCTCAGTGCTTAGTTCTCGTGGCCCTTTCTGACTTGCCCAGCGAAATGCTGGCCTTAGTTCTCGTGGTCCTTTCTTACACGCCTAGGGAAATGCTGGCCACCACTTTGGGCCCAGGAAGAAAATTTTCTCCAGGTCAGATCCTGGAGGGTTTTTTTTTTGCCATCTTCTGGGCATGGAACAGGGGATCACCGGGGTGTGTGTGTGTGGGGGGGGAGGTAGTTGCGAATTTCCTGCATTGTGCAGGGGGATGGACTAGATGACCCTGGAGGTCCCCTTCCAACCCTATGATTCTTACCCGCTTGTTTGCAGATAAAGATTATAGGTAGCCGTGTCAGTCTACAGGAAAATTCCAGATGAGAAAAGTGCAATACCTCTTTATAGGGCCAATGTGTGTATATACAGCACAGTTCCCCAGAGTCTGTAATCAGGATAAATATACACTACAATCCCCCTCCCCGCAAAAAAAACAGGCATGGGAGGGGAGAGAAAGGAAGTGAAAGTGGATGCCGTGGTACCTGGCTCATACCTTTCATGGAGCCTACGAAACGGTTTTAGAAAATGGGCGGAGCCAGGCGGGGCTTCTGCCAAGCAAGGTTTCTGATTGGCCACGGGAGATTTGATTGGCACTGTGCGGATTTTTTTAAAACGATGCTTCATCAGCAGCGGCCACCGCAGCACAAGGATCGTCAGTGTGTGACGGAAGGTCAGCTGCGGCAGATACTCTGTGGCCGGCTCTGCCTCCCGCGGTAGCCATTTTTGTGGCAGCCGTTTTGCGGATGCACCCACCATGCTGTGTTAGGCTCAAAAAGGCTGGGGAGCCCTGCTGTACGTGAATCAGCTAGAGCACTGCTATACTCGTTTGAAGATCTGGCTATTTGTTCGTCTTATCTGCAAATGGTTGTCGCTATCTCATAGAATCACAGAGTTGGAAGGGACCTCCAGGGTCATCTAGTCCAACCCCCTGCACAAGGCACAAATACCTGCCCCTCCACACACCCACAGTGACCCCTGTTCCACGCCCAGAAAATGACAAAAAAAACCAACCCTCCAGGATTGCTTCCTGACCCCAAAGTGGCGATCAGCATTTCCCTGGGCTCATAAGAAAGGGCCACACGAACTAAGCACTGGTGCAGCCCTGCCTGCCCTCCCTCCTCACGATCCGCCTCAGTTCACAGGATCAGCACTGCTGTCCGATGGGGCCACCTAGCCTCTGCTTGGAAACCTCCCAAGAGGGAGAGCCCACCACCTCCCGAGGAAGCCTTTCCCACTGAGGAATGCTCTAACTGTCAGGAAGTTCTTCCTAATGCTTAGCCGAAAACTCTTCTGATTTATTTCCAACCTGTTGGTTCTGGACCGACCTTCTGGGGCAACAGAAAACGACTCAGCACCATCCTCTCTATGGCGGCCCTTCAAGTACTTGAGGATGGTCATCATATCCCCTCTCAGTCATCTCCTTTCCAGGCTAAACCTACCCAGCTCCTTCAACCTTTCCTCACGGGACTTGGTCCCCAGACCCCTCACCGTCTTCATTGCCCTCCTCTGGACACGTTCCAGCTTGTCTATAACTTTCTTAAACTGTGGTGCTCAAAACTGAACACAAGACTCTAGGTGAGGTCTAACCAGAGCAGAGTAAAGCGATACCATCACTTCCCGTGATCTGGACACTAACCCTTAACTTCGCGTGATCTGGATACTCTACGTCTGTCGATCCAACCCAAAATCGCATTTGCCTTTTTAGCAACCACAGCACACTGCTGACTCATGTTCAGTGTATAGTCCCTAGATCCTTTTCGCACAGACTACATCCAATCCAATCACCTTTACTGGCATGTAACCCTTACAGACCCATGTACAACAAAAACAACAGCAGCATAAAATAATACTTGCAAAAAACAGATGTAAGGAGTTACCATGTAAGTATACCAATCAATTAAAAAAGGGCCAATAGAAATGGCACCCAAAATAAATTTAGCGACAATTCCCGTTATCTCAAGGTTTGGATTATCAAGAAGAGTAAGGACCTTTAGGCCGTCAGGATATTCTTCAAATTGAGCCAAAGTAGAGTTTAGAAATTTCAGTCATAGAGCATGGTAGAAGGGGCACTGAAACAAGACAGGGGAGATAGTTTCCGACAACATCTGTCAGAAAAGGGCACACCCTGAAAACGGCCAGATAATAAGGCCGAAGGTAATACATTGAATTGCGCCAAAGAGAGGGCTCTACGGAGTTCGGGGATGTGAAGCTGGTACAGGTAAGAGGCAGCTTGGCCGACTTTAGGAGATATTCCAAAATACAGGAGTGAGCAGGTTTTGTTAGCAGCGTTATATAGTGAATGTAGCTCAGAACGAAGTAGACTGGCTCTTATGATTGTCATAAGACAAGTCATGGACAAAGAAAAACTCAGCCACTTACAAGGTACTGTGAATAATCGCTTTGTTTTGACAGATCTATCGAGCTGGGCTCTGCATTCAAGTACGTCGACATCAGAAACTGGTACCTCCTCTGTTCGTTCTCCGACAAACTAGAAACGTAAGGATAGGGAACTCTGGGCTCCTGGAAAGACGCGGAATCCACTGAAGACTTAACTCCTGCTTGAACCGATTCTCGTCCGCCAGAAGTCCTGTTTTCTTGACCGGGCTTTGATCGGTCTGTGTTGCCTTCTGCTTTTCTAAAGCAAATGACACATATTCGGGTTTCATTATGAACGAAAGCTGAAACACCACCCCCCCATTCAAGAAGAGGAAAATTTGTCAAAAGTACAGCATACTTTTATCATGCGCTTTTTATTATTATGGGGTGGGGAAGGCAACCCTGAGGAGTGCAGCCAAGTCTTGTTGTTAAAAAAAAGACTATTTGGCCAATTCTTTTGCACCACAAAGAGGATCCTTCTACCAAAGATCCGATGGGAACTGATACAAAGCTTACTGACTGCGGCTCAGACGACATTAGCAAGACATTGGAAATTATGATTGCTACCCTCCTTATCAGAACGGTACTCAAAGATCTGGGACCACTCAATAATGGAAAAAATTACAGACAGACTATTACAATCGGACATATACCCAAGGCTAACAAACTTCACTGAGAAATGGTCTCCATTTATCACACATGTTCTTGATCAAGACATTGATCCTCCAAATCAATTATAGCGTCAACTACCTCTCCTTTAATCTTCTTGACTTCATTACTACTAATCTTTCATGTATAACTCCGGTTTCTCCTTTTTCATATCCAACAACACTAAGCTCAAAACATACGACAATCACCATGCACACCTAGTTTTATATCTCAACCCAAATTGACTAATTCGCATTAAAAGTAGCATTACAACTAATGTATAAACATCGACTTTGTCAGGGCTTTTTTTGTAGAAAAAGCCCAGCAGGAACTCATAAGCATAATAGGCCATACCCAACAGCAGGAACTCATTAGCATATTAGGCCACACCCTGACAGCACAACTCATTAGCCTATTAGGCCGCACCCCCATGTTACCAGAAATGTGGTCATCCAGCCACACCTACCTTTTGCTTCTTATTCTCTTTACCTTGTTTGGCCACACCCTGACACCACAGCTCATCTGTATATTAGGCAACACCTCCATGTTACCAGAAGTGTGGTCATCCAGCCACACCTACCTTTTGCTTCTTATTCTCTTTACCTTGTTTGTTGTCAAAACCCAGGGCTTTTTGCATGTTCGGCCACACACCCCTAATTGTAGCCAATCCTAATGAGTTTCTGCTGTTGGGTGTGGCCTATTATGCTAATGAGTTCCTGCTGGGAGTGGCCAGCTTGGGAGCCAGCCGGAACTCCGTTCCTGTGCGTTCCTGCCCAAAAATAGCCCTAGACTTTGTCATGTATGCTTCAATATTTGTTACGTATTGTGTGCGTAATCATATTATGATCATATGTCATTCAAGGTGTAATTCCCTTGTTATATCAATAAAAGGTTGTTTTTTTTAAAGACGTTTGGCAGAAAACACTAAAATCAATCACTTTGGGCCTATTCCTCTGAACACACATTACCAACCCAACAACACTTGGATACTGAGGCCAAATCATCACAAGGGGAGGGTCCAGTGGCTCAGTGGTGGAGGATCTGTGTGGCATGCGGAAGGTCCCAGGTTCAATCCCCAGGATCTCCATTAAAAAGGATCTGGCAGGAGGTGATGTGGAAGACCCCAACTTGAGACCCTGGACAGCTGGTGCCAGTCTGAGTAGACAAGACTGACAGTGATGGACCGAGGGTCCGATTCAGTATATAAGGCAGCTTCATGCATTATAGGGGAGGGGCCGTGGCTCAATGGTAGAGCCTCTGCTTGGCATGCAGAAGATCCCAGGTTCAATCCCTAGCATCTCGTACAAACCAAACCAACCAACAAAAAGCCTGGCTTTTGAAATCGTCTCCCGATGCATATTGCAATCCAGGATTCAAAGAGTTTGTTGCTGTTGTTCAGTCGCACAGCCGAGTCCAACTCTTCGTGATCCCATGGACCACGTCACGCCAGGCCCTCCTGTCCTCCGGAGTTTGCTCAACTTTCAAAGAGTGACATCAGCTCATTTTAGGGGCCAGAGAAACCAACTGAGAGTCAGTTTTGGGCTCTTTTTCTTTGAGCAGACAGTTTAGTGTAGTGGTTAAGAGCGTGGACTCTTATCTGGGAGAACTGGGTTTGACTCCCCACTCCTCCACATGCAGCTGCTGGAGTGACCTTGGGTCAGTCACAAGTTCTCTCAGGAGTTCTCTCGGAGCTCTCTCAGCCCCACCTACCTCCCAGGGTGTCTCTGGTGGGGAGAGGAAGGGAAAAGAGATTGGAAGCCGCTCTGTGACTCCAAGTGAAGGGCGGGGTATAAATCCAACCTCTTCTCTTCATCTTCTTCATCATCTTCCCTCCTTCCCTCAAAATGCCACGTTCTCAAACTGCTTTCTGTTTCACAAGCAGCTTGCCACATGGCACGTGTGAGGCCGCTCAACAAGAACGTGTGTCCCCCCCCCCTCCCCTGGTCTTTCACTACTTTGGCTCCTAGCCAGAGTATATTTCTTGGAACGCTACTTTCCAATGCAGAAGTCCTACGACGCTGCTAGAAATTACAGGGTTGGCGTTCCAAACACTAACCCCGACACGATATAGCTTGCTTAGCTCTTAATTATTTTAGCATAAGCGTGCTTAGTAATAAGCACATTTTAGATTAACTAAATCAAGTGTTAAGTGCTGATCTGGTTAAAAAGGGGGGGGGGGAAGCGCGCCTTGATTTACACACTCGGCAGCCGTCTCAACAGTATCATGTCCACAGCCCTTAATAACACCACACAGCTGTCTCTCAGAATATGAGAACACGTCCATCCCTGTGGCACGAACTGGCAAATTTAATTAAGCTGCTACCTCCAACAAGATGCTGACTCAGATGGGCCCGATGTGGGCACGTCAAGCGATTCTAGCAGCTCAAATTAGCTGCATTTTGACGCGGGCCGGGATGGCAGGCCGTCAGGATTGCTTCGCTGCACGCCGCGGTCAAAAGCCTTCGGCAGGGCGCGAGCCAAAATAATCTCACGCCTCCCCCTCCCCCCTTTCCACTTGTATTGGCTGCCCGGTTCTTTATTTAAACTGACCCATTCTAATCGGCAACCTGCTCTCTTCGCCAGAGCGCAGCTTTTATTGGGAGAGCGGACGGAGCGTCTCCAGTGCAGATCTGCAAATTCTGAAGGGTTTTATTTTGCGAGAGGTACCTGCCGCCTCTCCGCATCCTAGCTCTGCCTTCCTGCGGTACGAACAGCGCTCCGTTCCCACATTCACAAGCTACAGCACTGGCAATTAGATCGGGGGTCCCCACCACATGTTTTTAGAAAGTAGGTGCAAGAGAAGGAGGAGAAGATTGGATTTATACCCCGCCCTTCCCTCGGAGTCTCAGAGTGGCTTACAACCTCCTTTCCCTTCCACTCCCCACAACAGACCCCCTGTAAGGAAGGTGGGGCCCAGAGAGCTCTTTCGAGGTTTGCCTTTTCAAGGACAGCTCTTGTCAGAACTATGGCTTGCCCAAGGTCATCCAGCCAGGTGCAAGTGGAGGAATGGGGAATCAAACCCGGTCCTCCCAGATTAGAGTCCACGCACTGAACCACTACACCAAACTGGCTCCAGGGAAATGCCCTCCAGAATAAAATGAGCAGCACAGATTTCCACCAGGGAAAAAGGAATAGGACCCAACAGAATTCTACAGGCTGGCCAGACTGCAGGTGAATTTGATTTACTTAAATCGTTCATTAGCCGCCTTTCCACCTTGCAGAACTCAAGACAGCTTACAATATAAATACAACTGTAAAAAAAGACCAGAGTTTAAAATATCCACTTCGGACTGGCGATAAATGAAGGAGGAGGGGGAGATTGGATTTATCTCCCGCCCTTCACTTGGAGTCTCCGAGCCGCTTAAAATCTCCTTCCCTTCCTCACCCCCCCACAGATACCTTGTGAGGTAGGCGGGGCTGAGAGAGCTCTGATAAAACCGCTCAAGAGAACTGTGACTGACCCAAGGTCACCCAGCTAGCTGCATGTGGAGGAGGCGTGGGGAATCAAACCCGGGTCTCCAGATTAAAAGTCTGCTGCTCTTAACCACTACACCAAACTGGCTCTGCTGGACTAGATGGACCACCGGCCTGATCCAGCAGGGCTCTTCTGATGTTCTTACAAAGGCCTCAGCCTCTATGTCCTGCTGCTGGCCATCCAGAGGAAAAGAGCTGGTTTCATACCCTGCTTTTCACTACCCGAAGGAGTCTCAGAGCGGCTTACAAACTCCTTCCCTTCCCCACAACAGACGCCCTGTGAGGGGGGGGGGCTAAGAGCGCTCTTTCGAGGACTGTTCCTGAAAGAACTGTGACTGGCCCAAGGTCACACCAGCAGCTGCATGTAGAGGAGTGGGGAATCAAACCCGGTTCTCCCAGTTTACAGTCCGCGCTCTTAACCACTACACCACACTTTTCTCAAACGACTGTATGAAGATGCAACCCCCAATGAACTCAGCGAGATTGACTCCAAAGCAAAAAACCCCCAAGTAATCGTAACCTGCATGTTTCCTTGCCCATAAATGGGACGAATTAAGAGACGATTTATTTGCTTCCAAAAATCAGAAAGCAATGTATACTAGTACCTTCTGGACAGCAACAGCAGTTCACAGAGGGTGGGAGCCAGTGAATATTTTTCATAAAGATCACGGGAGAAGTATACTTCCTGTCCATTCTTGGGCGGCGTATCCCTGTTTTGGTGTGTAACAAGAGATAACAGCACACATTTGTGTATTCATAAACACAAGAAAAAGAACCAGAGATCTAGGTGCCACTTTCATCTTGAACGCAGCCCTTAGCATCAAAATGATGCTTTATAAATACATAATCAACGCTAAAAATAAATGAAATGAATAATACAGAAAGCACAACCCAGTTAACAGGCACAATCAGGTCTCATTTCATTGATGTATTTACAATTATTTTCAGTACTGCTCACTGCACAAACCTGGGCCAGCCATTACTTTCCAATGAGCCTCCCTCACAAGGCTGTTGTGAGTACATGTTAAGGAGGAGGTGTAGAATATTATCATTCTACAAGTTACCTTTAAAGATTCGGCTTTTAAAGACTCCGTGGAGAAAGGCACCGAACCCCAAGAAATGGCAAGTTTAGCCATTTCATGCTAACTATTTCAAAAAGGCAAAAAAGAGAGGCATTAACTTGCCCAGAAGTAGAAAACAGAAACAACTGGAGCATCTGCAATTATTTCTTTTATTCTACCCCACCTTTTCCCCCCAATAGGAGGATCCAAAGTGGCTTACATTATTAGTTCCTTACATTTTATCCTCACAACAACCCTGTGAGGTAGCTTAGGCTGAGAGCATGTAACTGGCCCAAGGTCACCCAGCAAACTTCCATGGCATTGGGGATTCGAACCTGGCTCTCCCAAATCCTAGTCTGATGCTCTAACCACTACACTACCTGGCTCTCAAGGCAGCATTATTGGGATGGCCTTGCATGCATAGGGGTTAGCTGGACCAGGATTCAAATCCCAGATCATGGGGCCAGCATCTAGGCCAGTCTCACAGACACTCTCTCTCCCCCCCTAGCCTACCTCACAGGGCTGTTGTGAGCATAAAACAGGGAACCATGTAGCTCTTTACAGAAGAAAATGGTGATGGTAACGAGTGCAACTGTAGAGCCTCCAGCAGCAGGGGCAATGACAAATGAAGTAGAACTAGCTGGCAATTTGGCATTACCTCAGGCAGGCTCTCTTTCCAGCTGCCTTTGATAAAAGGCTTTGATAAAAGAACAGAAGTAGGTGGCAAAAAGGAATTAACGGAAGAGTTCTGCCTATTTCTGTCAGAAGGGTTTAAAATTACTCACAAACGTTCCCTCCCTTTCTGACCTGCTGCTGAAAACTGACTCAGTCCCCACAGTGCTGCTGGAAATGCACCCTCTGCACGGGTTCCCCTTCCCCGTTTTCCTTCACAACAGCCCTATGAAGGAGGCACGGTGGAGGATCTGAACCCAGGACTCCCTGGTCTCAGTCACGTAACGCATCATGGGGACGAGCTCCAGCCTCCCAAACAGGCTTTTCGAAGAGGAGCCCCGCTTCCTTAATAGAGCCCAGAGGCTCAAAGCCAACCCCGGGGGCCGACGGCGGGCAGCCCTCCACTCACCAACTAAGCGCTTTCCCGCCCGCCGCCATCTTGCGGCCCTCCTCGCCCCGTCGCCCACCTCGGCGTGAAAGGAAAACATTCCCTTCCCACTCCTCGCCGGCGTCGCCTCGAACAGGACTGTGGCTAAGAACCCGCCCTCACCTGGCGGACACTGGCCAATCGGAGCCCAGAATCTTGCAAGGTCCCGCCCCAAAGCCAAGTTGTCCAATCCGATGATGGAAAATAGGGATATAAAGTGAAGCGAGGAAGGGTGTGTCTTAAGTGAGGGCAAAGCGTCATCGATTTCTCCCGCCCTCGGGGGTGAGGCGGGGAGAATTAAACGCCTCAGCTGAGGGTGCCTGAGGTAACCATTCTCTCTTATTTCATTTTATTGTTTAAAATAGGGTTACCAGAAGTCCCCCCCCTTTTTTTGGCGTCTGTCGTCTTTGGGGCTCTTTTTAAGACAACTGTGGGAAGCGTCCTCTTTTGGGGTTGGGAGGTTAGGAATGTTCCCAGTTAGTCGCGACGCTCCCTCTGAGCTGTGGAGTCCTGAGGGAAAAAATCCTACTTGGTGAGCTCCTGGCATTAAAGTTGTGGGCGAGGGATTGGGCTGCTGCATGAATTAGTTTGCTCTGGAGCCCTCCTTCCTGGGCGAAGGCAAAAGGGTGTGAGCCAGAGGCTAAAAAAATTGTGAGCTGGCTCACACTAAACTCAGCTTAGAGGGAACACTGGTTAGTAGGACACCTCACAGGTTAAATGATAGCGATATTGAAGTAATAGAGAAACTATATTACAAGGGGAGAGTAAAGAAATATTTGAAAAATGACAGAAAATGTTTTACCTATGGGTAGGTATTGGTAAAGGTAAAGGTTCCCTTGCTCGAAAGCCAGTCAAGTCCGACTCTAGGGTTGCGGTGCTCATCTCCGTTTCAAAGCCGAAGAGCCAGCGCTGTCCGAAGACGTTTCCGTGGTCGTGTCGCCAGCATGACTAAACACCAAGACGCACGGAATGGCTAGCTAACGTAACATAAAAATGACTAGTAGAAATGCTAAATGTAAAATGGAGATAAGGTGTATATATTGTTAAAGCATAAAAATGGCTCGCAAAGATATTTAATGTCAAACGAAGACAAGATGTATGTATTGTCCAAAACTATAAATAAATAAATATGAAAAAAAAGAAAATGAGATTTGTCATAGTGGTTGGTTGTCGGAAGCAGTCAGTCGGGAAATGCTGCCTTTTCCCCCCCTTCAAAATCAATTCTAGTTTAAAACATGGTAGTAAAATAATTATAAGAATATATAACAAAGTGTGAGTCCAGGGGCACCTATAAGACCAGCAAAGTTTTATCCTGAGTATAAGCTTTTATGTGCATGCACACTTCCTCGGATACAATGAAATGGAAGCTACCAGTCTGTACCTATAGCTAGAGCATGAGAACACTAAATTAGCACATAACACATTTAACAGATTCAAGGACCAAACCATAATAACAATTTTAATTTATTTATTAGTTTGACTTCTACCCTGCTGTCCCTGCCGTAGTGGCTCGGCGGCTTACATAAAGCCACTAAAACAATATACGTTTCAATATAAAACACATAATCAGTTTAAAACCATTAATGTAGCATTGGCAGCATGATATAATAAAGTGCATCTAAATAACAAGCTTAGTTTACATGGTTACCATATGTTCAATTCTGGGGGAGAACATAGTGAAAGAAAGAAATAACGAAGCTCGTTATTCCTGTTTGAGCCTTGAATATGCTAAGTATCTTCATTATGTTATAAGCTAATTATCAGCTTGCCCTCTACCTATATGTATGGACTGGTAATTTCCATTTCACTGTATCTGAAGAAGTGTGCATGCACACAAAAGCTTATACCTTGAATAAAACTTTGTTGGCCTTAAAGGTGCCTCTGGATTCTATCTTCGTTCTATCTGAAGAAGTGCACATGGAATCTTATACCCAGAATAAAATTTTGTTGGTCTTTAAAGGTGCCACTGGACTCAGACTTGGGTCTATCTAAAGAAGTGTGTGTGTACATGAAAGCTTACACCTTGGATAAAACTTTGTTGGTCTTAAAGGTGCCGCTGGACTCCAACTTTGTTCTGATGCTTCAGACCAACATACCGTGTTTCCCCGAGAATAAGACACTGTCTTATATTTATTTTTTCTCAAGAAGACATACTAGGGCTTATACCACAAATGCATAGAAATCCTGCTAGGGCTTATTTTGGGGGTAGGTCTTATTTTCGGGGAAACGGTAGCTACCCCACCTGAATCTATAAAAATACCTAATGTACTATAGCACCAGTATTAGCATACTTTGTATCTTAGTGAATTTTAAATAATGTTATATTGGCCCCGGTCACATGGCAAAGTTGCCACGGGAGAGGGATGGAAGGTGGGCGGATTATCCGGGCGCGATCACACTCCAACATCTGGGAAGTGGAGCGCACCTGTGGCTTACTGCCGAGAATGCACATTTAAAAACTAGTACCTCCAACGTTTGCCACGGGCTGCCTCCAGACGCCCGTGGTGTGATCGCATCAGCGCGTGGTTTTCCCCTCTGGTCCCTCGTTTACCCGCTGGCACCGAGGGAAGGACCCGTGGTGTGCCGCCGGCGCGTCTGATTGCGTAATCGTGGATCAAACTGCGTCTGGGCAATTAGCCACGCCTCCCCCCGGCGCTATCCGGCCTGTGTGACCGGGGCCTTCAATCGTTATTTATTTATTAAAACCTATCCTGCTTTTCCTCGTGGTTCAAGGTAGTTATTAAGCACCGATTTGTGGAGAAATGTGCTCTATTTTTAAATGAATAAATTCCAAGGCAGGATTGCTATACATGGAAAATGTGAAAAATGAATTTGTTCAATAATTACAGTAAAAATAGAATTAAGAATGTACAATAGTTATAATACAAGTTTTACTGTTAATTATTTTATAATTAATATAAAATTGGTAATTTTTTTGTAAAATAACAATTACAAGATGTTCCCATTTACAAGAAGTTGCTCCAGAAATATATTCCATCAGTAAATTCTAATACAGGATAATGTTTGTCCAGAGGCACCTTTAAGACCAACATCTGAATCTGTCTTCCAATATAAGGTATGATTGCAAAATCAGTAAAAAAATTTAAATAAATATAATTATTGTAAAATAGGTATCAATACAACAGGTAAAAACAGCAGTATAATTATTTTATTGTTGCTCATGTAAAATGATCGTCATTTTAGAAAAACATTTCCATCCAAGCAATACATTTTATTTTGTTTGCTAAATTGCTACAGAATTTTTCTGCCTCCATTTTCCCCCCTGCCTCTTAGGTGACAAAAAGATAACATGTGCTAAGTTTTCATAGAGTGCTGCAGTTTGCAACTTTCTCAAGTATCGGGTATATTTGCAATTTTTCTAACAAAACAAAAACATGTATAAATTCCTTAAATAGGTCAAATAGTGTAATTTTATATGCTATATTAGAAATGATGGTTGTATATTGTAAAAATAGGTTCAATTGGAAAGTAAGCTTTGCATATATTTCAGTCCCCCCACCAAAATTCTGTTTTTCTCTTGTTTAGAAAGGGCCAGGCTTCAGGACAAGGCTTCTTGAGGGGAAGAAATCTCTGTGTGCTTAGATCACAAGGCCAGGAGTTGTCAACTACCTTATGGAAAGGCCTTCACGTGGTTATCTGGTGTGTGGACTCAAGACTCATCCATAGAGCAATTGTTTTTGCAGTCAGCGCAATTCCCCGTGTTTTGCTAGTGTTCAAAGAAGACTGGACTTCAGAGGCTATGATGTGACAGTGTTTCATTGGTCGACTCAACTAAGAGTTCAACAGTGAGATGCCAGCCCTAGAGAGGTAAGTGCAGGTTGTGAGTAGAACATGCTCTGGCTCCTGACCTCTTTTCTCAGACACAAATTTTGACTCCAGTGACACCTTAAAGATGCCTCTTTTCTCAGACACAAATTTTGACTCTAGTGGCACCTTAAAGATGAACAAAGTTTTATTCTGGGTATAAGCTTTTGTGTGCATGCACACTTCTTCAGGTGCACACAGATGCATGCACATGAAAGCTTACACCCAGAATAAAACTTTGTTCATCTTAAAGGTGCCACTGGGCTTAAACTTTGTTCTTCTGCTTCAGACCAACATGGCTACCCTACCCACCTGAATCTTTCTCAGACGCAGTCATTGCTCCCAAAGTTTTTTGTTGATGAATTAAACCTTGGAGGCACCGTTTATTGTTACCTAGAATATGTTGGCTTTAAGAGTGTCTAAAATGACCCCACCCTCAGAGAAGAAGAGGAGATTGGATTTATACCCCACCCTTCACTACCCGAAGGAGTCTCAGAGCGGCTTACAATCTCCTTTTTCTTCCCCTCCCCACAACAGACACTCTGTGAGGTAGGTGAAACTGAGAGAGCTCTTTTGAGGACTGTTCTTGAGGGAACAGCTCTGAGAAAACTTGTGACTGACCCAAGGTCACACCAGCAGCTGTATGTAGAGGAGTGGGGAATCAAACCCAGTTCTCCCAGATTAGAGGCCGCGCTCTTAACCACTACACCAAACTGGTTGTCGGCCCGTTATTTTTATGCAAGATAGAAATGTATCTCCTGATGGGAGCCAGTTGAGCCTGGAGCAGAGACTGCAGCAGAATTATCTGCCTCGAGAGGAAAGTGACTGGAAGGTGGAAAGACCAGGGTGCCGAATCACACAGATGCAAAGTAGGAAAGCGTCCTTTGCACATGTGATTTGGGCATACATAGGAACATTTAATATATTTCTTGTTACAGCCTCAAGTTTTCTTCAGGCACACAGTTTGGGAATTGGTCTATACCAGGGCCCCCCCAACCCTTTTCAGTTTCTGGCAGGCACCTCTGGAATTCTGACATAGAGTGGTGGGCACAGTAACAAAATGGCTGCCACGGGAGGTGGAGCCAATAATAAAATGGCTGTCATGGGAGGTGGAGCCAGAAATAAAATGTCAGAAAGCCAGGCTATATATCACTAATGGTATCTCTTCCAACATTTCAGGCAGAAGCTCTTTGTAACAGGATGCCTTTTAATTTGCACAGCC